CTCTTTCTTTCGCTTTTCTGCGAGAAGAGTCGATTATTGGGACGTCTGCTCCGCGGTCTGTCAATAGGTTCGAGAGATCGCGCTGGCGAACTCTCTCTTTCCAAGCTTTGAATATGGGGTTCGGGACGATTTCACGGGCGCGTCGTGAAAGTGGAGGAGAGACGAGCGTGCTGGTTAAACATGGAGAGAAAGGTGGAAATAAATTGAGAGGAATTGAAAAATTCTCGGTAGGTTGAAAAATGGGAAAATTCGAACGGAGAATGGGATCGGAAAGTACAGAAAGGGGAGGAGGGAGGGTCGAGAATTTGTGGCGCATAAGGTTTTGAAATATGTTAAAAATCGTGGGTAAAGCTCCAGAGAGAAATTGAACCGGGGGAAAAGTTGGAGGTGGAATTTTAAAATCGAACGAGGAATAAGTTGACTGAAAATTAAACTGCGCCACGAGGAAATAGAATGTTTCTTGGCTCGAGTGGTATTGAGAGCTTGGCCAGCTGCGGTTTGAAGTTTCTACTTTTGTATTTTTCACGAAGTTGACGCGAGATATGGGGACGCGTTGTTAAAGAACGTTGAAGTAAGAAACAATTGTCGGATAAATTTTGTATTTGAACCGAAGAAATTTGGATTTGTGCCCGAACCGAGAACAGATCAAATACGGAATGGTTCCATTCGACAGTTTCATATTTAACTGAAACGCCCGCGAAACGTCCATTTCACTCTTTTTTCGAGACTTAGGTACTTCTTTCCTCTTTTTTTCTTTTTGTCCTTTAAATTCATTACTGCCGTTATCTGAGGGCTCAGCTTGTCTTGAAAGCTTGATTTAAACTGGAAGCGATATAGCGGATGGAAACGCGGTGAAAGAGAGTCCCTTTGTGCGATTCCTCTCGGCGAAGTCCACGCTAACTTTTAATCCGCATTGTAAATTCTACTGAAATCTCGTTAATTTCCGCAGGTGTTTGGAAAATGTCGTAATCCTGTTTACTCGTTTCGCGGAATATCTGTAGTTCCTCGAACTCAAGCGCTTCTGTACATTTTTGCGCTAACGTTCGAAACGAACGCGTACATCGGTTCTCATAAAATACCCATTATACCTCGAAATTTACACGAAATCAACACAGACGCAACAATAATTCGTTTCACCTTTTCCAACCTTCTCTCCTTCGTAAAATACCTTTACGCGTGTAATTCAACGAAAAATCGATTCGCAGCAAGGGAAGAACGAGCACAGAGGCTCTCTTAATGGTAAAGAAAAAAGATACGATGGCACTTTGTAGCTGTATTTTGTGAAAAAAATTATAGCCAAAGGAGCAGAGGAGTATGGATCTCATTAAAACGTCGACCATTTTCCTCTGGCAGTTTTTTCCCCCGTGTATTCACCTAAAAAAGGACCCATAGACCGAGTTCCTAAAATCTGCGCCTGTATATGCAAAACCGGACGTGTCCAGCTCGCTGTGGAAAAACTTTTTAATAACAAGCTACGCGTCAAAGGAGTGCAAAGTGTCTTCGACGTTACGTCAATTCTCGTTCGTCCTCTATTTTTTCCCTTTCTCTCGTCTTCTCGCAAATTAGCTCTCCGTTAAATCGTAACGAGGATGAACGTTATCCCCTCCAGTGAAAATATGACGCGAACATTCGCGAAAGGAGGGAGGAAACACGCGACAGAAATTTTTTTTCATGGAGTTCGTTAATGCGGGAGATTAGGGACGACGGTTTCCGGGGGGGGGGGGAGAGAGAAGGAAGGAAGAAGAGATTGGGGGAAAGAGACGGGGGAGAAAAAAAATGAAAATTCGACGCCCTCGATGGCCGGAAGCCGGCTTATCTGGAATCGCCATGATGGCCGCGTGTTCCCCGTGCTTCTCGTCGTGGACATTTTGCTGCGACGCGCGTCCGTTTCGTCGTTTTAATTATTCCGAGTGTCCGTTAGCGCGCAACATCGAGCCGTAATCAAAAGTTTCCTGCTTGCCGCCGCGTTATCGTTCGCCGAACTTCCACCGATCCAATCCGACTCTTCATCCCTCTCTGTCGTTCCGGATTTTCGGCCGATAGCGATATTTTCTGTGCCTTTATCGAAAATTTCTTTTTTTATTTCTATCGCTAAACCGTGAACGTGTTAACCGGTTTTCAAATTTTCTTCCTTAACCCCTTCTCAGTCACAGACGAGATATTAGAAACAGAGGAGATTCACTTAACCCCTTTGCATCTATGGATGAAATATCTCGCGGCGCAATGTCGTTCGTGTGCCGCTTTAAACGAGATATGTATCTCGCGTCCAAATGAAAATACGTGCGATATATCTCGTCAAAAATTTCACCTGAACGTCATTTCGTCGCGAGATATCTCATAGATACGAAGAAGTTAAGTGAATCTCCTAAATTTCTAATTCTCCCCCTACCTTCCTAAAATTAGCCTACTACTTCGTCGATGAATTTCTCCAATTTACAAAAATCACAGAAACCCACCTCGACCTTTTAAAATACATCGCGACGAAAGTGTCATCGATATTTCGCTTAGGATCGTGCGAAAAGTAAATCATCGCTTGCGTACGGTGTCCCTGGCGAAAGAATTGCCCCCTCTATTCTCTTCCACCGGAATAGAAAACGTTTTCTTGCCGGCTGCTGTTCGCTGGCAGAATTTCTTAGTGATTTATGTTACATTAGGTCGGTACGTCGTAAAGATCGAGTAAAAGGAGTGTATTCAACGTTTTCCAACGGAGAGAAGCAGGGGGTTGGTGTTCCTGGAGCCATCCAATTGAAATGCGATCGCACGAACGTGAAGTATACCGTCTGTGTTAAAGGTCCCTTCTGTTCGTGGCAGTTGCAAGACGAACGGGCAAATGGACGTTCTCCGGAACTATTTTTCGTGACTGCAATGTTCTAACGCAAACACGGATTACGTTGATGTTCCATTAACCTCCGAGGAACGTCCGTTTCTCCACTCTCTCTTCCTCCAACTTCTCTCTCTCTCTCTATCTATCTGTCTCTCTCTCTTTCTCTATGTATCTATCTGTCTCTCTCTCTCCCCCTGTGGTAATCAGGCTGCACGGAACTTGGAGCAATTAATCGTTCGGCGACCGCATCGATTAAACAGCCGACATCGTCGCTATCGATCGAACGCCCGCGCGGCTATTTGTTTCCGCCGGAAGGAGATGGTCCTGGTAAAGTCAACACCCCTGGTTTTTGCGAATCCTCCGTTTCCTTCGACCGATCGTTACACCGATTAAACGATCTTGGGTAGGTAGCTAGGTTAGTTCACTCGAAAAACTCTATGAAATTCAAATGAACGATAATCCTTTGGAATATCACATTTGGCGAAACGTTCTACGATCTACGATAAGATCACCGATAGCTTAACTGGAGAAACTCGAAACAAGAGACCTGTTTGTCTAGAAATCCGATGAACGTGATATCGATAGAAGGGAATACTAGGTTCTCGAAAGAACGTACATAAACCTGCTTACTTACAAAACTAAAGCCATCGATCCCGAAATAATGGCGGTGCTCTTCCGCGACGACGTGTACCGTTCGACGTCGAGATAAATTCGCATCGGTCAAATTTCTCCTCTCGACCCGTCTTACCCGGAGGGAAGAAAAAGAGGGAAACACAGTCGAACTATCCTTCTTAGGGCTATTCGCTACGAAGGCTCCACGATATATCCAGGGCCTCCTTATCTCGCGGGAGAAGAAGGCACAATACCTTTCAACGTGGTAGATATATATAAATGTGTATATACAGAGAGATGTATATATGTAGACGGTCGAATGGCCGGAAGTATACAGCAAGGCTCGCGGAATTCCGCAGGACTTTCATCGACGTTACAATAACTGCAATATATCCGGCCGCGGGGCTGTTCCTTCGCGATACCAGACGACGAGTCCGCGGCTCTCGTGGATGAAAAGGAGGGTTGTACGCGACGGGGATGAGAAGACAGGAGTTGGATGTTAAGGGTGTGAGAGACTTCCCCCGTCAACGATGGTACAACAATGGCGGAATATAAATCTAAATCCAGAGCGCCATCCTTCTTCTCCCTCTTTGCGCAACCATCTCTCACGCCTCGATCTTTCGCTCCTTTCAATCCCTTCCATTTCTTCTTTCTTCTTCCCTTCCCTTTTATTCATTCCAGTTGTCTATTTTCCACGTCCCTTCTGTCCCGTCACCTACAGCCAACCTTCTTCTCCTTCTTACTTGCTTGCTTGTGTACTTACGTCGACGTTCGTATTTCTTCCCCCAGATTTTCTGGATTTGATAAGTTCCTTTCACACTTTCCTCTCTTGTTAAGCTTAATCTCTCGAATGCAGTTTCTCTCGTTCATTTTGCAGCTAAAAGTAGAATTACCCTTTTTGTACTATTTTTTTTTTTGGGTTTCGTCAGTTTTTTCGGTGTGTTACTTATAATTGTATTTTTAGCATTGTTTTTGCCGCTTCTTCTTCTTCTTTTGAAAACGCTTTCATGACCTCCTCTCTTTTCACCATTCATTGTCCCGCCCTTTTTTGTATACTTCACCTTGAATGTCTCCTCTCCACCCATCAAGCCCAGCGTGCTTTTCTCGCCTCCCGTCCACGCGGACGTTCCTCTCTTCTCCCCATTCATCACCGTGCCTCTTTCATTTTCTCACTCTCTTTCACTTTCTCCGGAGAATAAATATTCCTTTGGGCCGTGACGCGCGCGCCTGCCCGCCCCTTATCAGTATTTACGACGAGACGTACGCGTCCCGGAGTCGTTTTCACGCTTGCTGCATAAGTCTGACGCGCGCAGTCTGCGACCCTCCTTCTAATGCACTCATCTATCTGTGTGACTCTCGCGTATCTTTAAGCTCGGAGAATTCTATTTTAATCTGTTTCTTTCTTTTTTTCGTTGTTCTTCTCGTTGCAGAAATCGATTGGAGAGCAACACCGAACACTGGAACGCTCTTTTGCTGTCTCTGCGCGAGCTCATAGAATGGGTGATCAGAAAAGACACGGAACTGACTGGTCTGGGGCCTGTTTGCGGGGATGTGGCCACTTTGCAGAAGCAAGAGGTAATTTTTGATTACATTTTTCTGCTGATGTTTGTAGCTGTCTGTTAAAGTAGAATAGTTTTTCGTTTTTGTATCCTGGCCAGTGTGTCGATAGCGTTTAACCTAGCCTTCGAGTTCTAATTTTATACCGACTAGCCCTTGGCAATTTAACCCTTTCGTTACTATTGGCGCCTGTAGGCGTTTTGAAAATAATAAATTTCACAGCCGTGGTTAAAAATTTACCGTCAGTCATCCACGTTACACATCGACATCTGCCGCAGCGAAAGGGTTAATCGGAAAAACTCTTCCATATAAACTCTTTTTCTATTCGTAGAAGCAAAAATTACAGATGAATCTCAGTTCATCAAAAATTCTCAATTATTTCATTAAAAATACACAAGCAACCGAGCAGCTTTAACAAAAAGCATACACATATCTACAAACTTTTTCACAGTGGTGAAACTCAACGAAAGAATTAAAGTAGCATCTGACATCACCTTAAAATCCGCCCGCCAGTCGAGCGCAATCTTGTTCGTGGCAAATAGGTTCGTGTACCTTGAAGCGTGCCCCGTAACCTACTGGAATGGACTGGATTACACGAAAATGACGCAATTAGGGTAACGTTGTGTGCGTGGACACCGACAGACGGGGGCCACGCGTGGTCTGAACGCCATGGGGGGTCGAAGGGGGCGGATACAACCCCCTACGGCCCAGTTTCCACGCACAAAGACGGACTAGCTCGGACTAATCCAGATTAGAACGTGCATGTTACCGCGGCGCGAGTGTACAGGGATGATAAGGTGCATGTACCGCGATCCTGATCACGAACAGTCATCGACGGACGACACCTGCGCTGCTACTTATCGCGTGCAACCCCCTAATCGATCGGGTATTAATCAGAGACAAGAATGTTCACGCGTAATCTTTGTGCGACTTAACTGCAGTGTGCAATGGAAGTTCCCCGGATTCTCGGTTTAACAATTTATTGTGATTGAATGGAAGATAGTTGAAAGGAGAGCATGATTTGCAATCGTGCCGAGTGACGTCAAAATTTGAAAAAAGATGTCAGTACGTTTGTGCTTTCAAATATGGATTCTCTATTTTTGGAAATTTGCGCGAATCAAATATTTATGCAAATTGAGTTTGGGAACTTTTATTACACGCTATAGTTTCTACGCGTTCCTCACACGCTAACTTTATTTTCTGCGAGGTGACCGAATGAAAATTTTAAGAGAAGAATATTTTTTGGTTTAATTTTGCGACACCAAGCATCCTTTCAATCCGTCTGCTTCGTTTCGAAAACTTTTCAGCGAAAAATTCCGAGACTATGATTATTCATCGGTACGAATAATGGAGGATACCATATGCGAGTCAGTCTGAGTTAAAAATTAACTTCGTAGCCTTGCGACACATGTGGAAAATTAGAAGTGGTTACGTAAAAATGTCACGCGTCAGCAAAGTGTTTTGGTACATTTTCAATTGTCAGGATTAACGAGGTTGGCCATGTTGGCGCGTGAATAAATAAGCTCGAAGCGAAACAGTATCGATTGGCCGCGAACGGGTGTCTGGTAATTATCGCGGAGAGGCGATAAGGTAAGTCGCGGATGGGGATCGTTTTGCAGGGTTAGTTTCCGGGATCGTTCGAAGTGAGATCGAGATGAGGGATTCGAGCAGGAGGCTGACTGATGAACGTGTGTTTTGAGATCGATGCCACGAGAGAGGGTGTCTGGTGTTGCATTGGGATGGGATTGGGGACTGGTGAATTTGATGGTTGGCTTAGACGTGATTATCTGGAGAGGTTTTAAGTAAATTGCGATAAGAGGACCGGAATTGTTCTTCGTTGAAACATTTCGATACTTGGGGGACGTTTGAAGATTCCTTCCTTCCTAGCCAATTAACAATTTCATTAAAATAAGGTATCTTTAAATAAGCAAATTATTGCTTTGTAAAGTTAACTCTTATATACTCTGTCCAATTTAAGAATAACCTCGCTTCGCGCATCGGACGTGCCTAAGGCAGTGCTAGAACGTCCAAACCCCCCACTTAACCGACTTACCCTCTGCCACGCTCTCTGTCTATGCGCAGAACGGACGAGAATCGGTCCGAGAGCGAGGTTACTCTTAAATTGGACAGACTCTAGTTAAGTATAGTTAACATTTTTATCACTACTCGATGCAGAACAATAAAATCTGATGATTAACTCTCCTCTCTCAGTTAACTCAGGTAACATTTTAACACTGCCTGGCAGAAAAATAATTAAATCTAGTTTTCCCCTTTTACGTCTTATACTTTATATTTATAGAAATAGAAATAAATCGCTACTTTTTTACAATATTTATTTTTGCAATATCTAAACTAACGGTACACTTTCGGTACCTATTCAGTCTATCAGAGACGGTTCGGTTTTCCCACCATCGCACAGTTGCAAAATAGAAGCGACACAAAATCCCGGAAGAGTTAACAGGTAGAA